AGCTGACAAGAGGGCCGCAGGGATAATACGTGATGAGAAAGCTCCTGCCACCTCCCACCCCGCTTGCCTTCATCGGGGGGGAAAGATCTCACAGTTGGAGGGAAGCTGGTCTCCGGTTCAGCAGCTTGCAGTACAAAACACCTCCCTCCCCAAGTTTCAAACCTCACGTCTGATGCCATGTGCACACCCCTGCACTCATGTCAACAGAACTGTTACCCTCTTGCTCCGCACTTGCGATTGTGAACATACTGGAATCCACACCACGCAGGTGTGCACTTCAGTCTTGCTCAGGGCTCTTAACTCGCATGTGTAATCAGTTTTCACTGATCTCTGCTGCTGGTTTTCAGACTGCCAGGTGACACAGTGGGGTTACACTATTACGAGGACTGTCTCCCACACATCAGACTGTACCTGGAGCATCTCCTGCCCATTCTCGGACTGTTGCTAATAAAATAAGTTGTTGCAATGCATCTTTCTTCTCTACATGTTTGGCATTAAACTATTATAGGTACTGTTTAGTGTGCACAGGAAGGTGCGAGACTGAGGTTCCATTGTGAGGGCAAAAAGTGCCGTCAAGTCGCAGCCAACTGACGGCAGCCCCATAGAGTCACCCAGAGGTGCTCATTGCCTGCCTCTGTTTCGTGACCCCGGACATCCTGGCTGGTCTCCCATCCAATTACTAACCGTGGCCGACCCTGCTTAGCTCCAGAGATCTGACGACATCGGGCTGTTCGGGGCCATCCAGGTCCCTGTGAAGCTACCTGGAGCATACTCCTTAAATATTTATTTATTTAATCACATGTTTATCCCGCCTTTCCCCACAAGCGGGCTGAGGGTGGGTGACAACCCATTAAAACAGTTAAAATACAATACAGAAGTCCAATTTAAAACACAACGGATCTTATGCCGGCAATTTATTTAATGAATAAATAATACAACCCAGAGCAATGCGTCAAAAGGGTAGCAAATGCCCACTTCAACCGACCTAAGTACCATGAACACAGTGCAATGATCGCTCCGTCACATCCTTTAATCCAAGAACACAACCTGAGCATTTGGGAAGGGAAGGATGGAAGAAAAACTAGTTTTATTGCTCAACTCGTTTCATTCAGGCTGACGCAGAAGTTCCCAGTGGACTGCACCCAGAGACTTTTTAAAATGTAAATATTTAAATGAGATACTTTGAGAAGAGTAACATGTTTGGGATTGCACAGGGGGAGTCGGGTTAGTATGCTACAGGAAAACAAAAGCGAACCTTGTGGCACAGAGGCTAATGTACACTTCCGTGAATTTTATTGTTGCAATAGATGTGGGTTCAAAGATTCCCCCTCAAGACTCAGGAGCATTCAAGAGAAACAGACAAGATAACACTATGGAGGTAACTGCAATGTCGACACAGTAAAAAGAACTCTGCATGCCCAGACTTGGCGTTTATCCCACTAAACTAAATGGAACTCAAGTTCAAACACTGCAGGCTCCATGAAGAAGTCTGCGGAAGAGCCCCAAGTCTACTGACTCCAGAGGTCAACGGGAAGTAGAGACTTGTATGAACTATTTTCACTTGGGCTATTACTCAATTTGGACAACTGTAGTGTGTTCCTTAGGGTCTGAACTAGGCTTCAGTGATACAACACCAACCAAAACAAGATTCTGTGTTTTCCGAATCTGAGTATCTGATTCTAAAGAAAGACAAAGAACCCTCCAAGGACCTCTACAAAAATAACAGGACCGTTTCCCACACTCCAGTCCATACCTGGATCGTCTCCTGCTCATTCCTGGACTGTTGCTAACACGGTAGGCTGTTGGGACACACCTTTCTTCTCTACGCCGTTCAGGTGTGTGGGGCCTTCTCCGGGGTGATCTTGAGCGAGATCTGAATAAGAGGAGGGGGGACAGTTTTAGTTGTCTTTGGGATGGAACGAACTTGCATTTTTTTTAGTACTTGATTTCAGAGAGTACTTGTGCCATTTAAATGTGTGTCCCAATACACCATAAACAATTTGTCTCCCTTAACAAGAAAACAAATACTTTTTTCGAGATATTGTCAGTTTCCTGTGGGTTTTGTTTTTGATCATATACATACACATTCAAGTTCCCAATTCCCTTGATTTCAAAGCAACGTGCATTTTAGATTCCAATGATTCTCTCATATATTAATAGTGGTTTAGAAGATAATCCACATGCTGATGGAACTGGCAAGTTCATGCACATGCAAATCTTTTAGGGAATAAAGCCAGGAAACCGGGTCCTGCAAATCAGTTCTGCTTAATGGTGGCGTTTTCTCTTGCAGAAGGAAGCTTCCCTGTCTCGAGGGTATTCAGCCTCTTGAGAAAGCGGAAGGTTCCTTGGATCAGTGCCACTGATGTTGGAACCCATCTTTCAAAGAGGCCCAATTTTATAAGTTATATAGTACAACACAAAGCTGACATATACAGGCGGGGAGAGACAGTGAAGAGGAGGAGGAGAAGGAAAGGGAAGAAGAATAATCTTAGCTAAGGTACTGGAAAGTTTCGAGTCCCTCAGGGAACTGACAACACCCACATTTCTGTGCAGCAGGCTGGAGAAAGTGACCATTTTAGCTTGCCCTTTCAACCTGTTAAAATTGACTAGAAGCCCATGAAAAGAATTCTTCAGCCTACAGAGAGACTGTAAGTGAGAACCTGTACCCTATTAAAAA